TAAATGCTTCATAAATAAAGTGACTTGACTGGAAGTAGCCTTAAAAAGCCAAATTCAGTTACAAAAAAGAAAACTCATCACTTTTTATGGACCATTGTCAATCTTTTAAAAAGTGTTGGCTTGCAAATGTGAGTGGAAATATTCACCCTGATAGATGGTGTTTGTGATTCATTGAGCACATACACTCTCTGTCTTTTACATTACTCATTCAGAGAACCATAAGTATCCATCCATGGAGGAGCTTAATCTGTCTACACACACACACACACACACACACATACACTGATCATTACCCTCCTGCCTTGTCACAGACACTTAGAGAAACACAAAGAAGGAGACCTGAACCAAAATCCTGAGATGATTTTCCCGCCTGTCACCACCACTTAGGTGTGTGTACGCTTTACTATATGCGTATGTGTGTGTGTGTCTGTGTGTGTGTTTGTGCAAGTAGAGACCACATGCAAAGGGTTTCCACGGGCGACATCCAGAGGTTCTTGAGGGGGTCCAGTGGGTTGTGATCGCTTTTCCAGTGCTGTCATCACAAAGACACACTTATACTCAAACAGCAGTCTTTGTCAAAACACACTGACAGAGGCTCAGACACAAAAAAAAGACAAAAACAAAATAAAAAAGCAAGCAGTTCAATCCCATCCGCTTTGTTCCACCTCATGTGTGCATGTACGCAGCAATGCATTATACGAACACCAAAAATCACTTTGCTATGGATTCCACACACAGACACACGCCAACCCCCTCCTCCTTCATGCAAAAATCTGTCTTCACTCTCAAATCTGTCATCACTTTTACACCTTATTCTCACTGTTTTGCCTAAGCAGAACATATTGTGCCGCAAAGAATTTTATCTGAGTGCAGACTAAATATCCACAGAAGGGTTTTTTTTAATAAAGCAGCCTTCAAAATAAGGTTACAGCACTTTAAACTTCCTCATGTGGTCCACTTTATGACCTCTCACTGGGTTATAAGAACCTTGTGAAATCCATCAAAACACACTGAGGATGAGGAAGTCACACTCCCTCATAATCATACGGGAAAAAAAACATTATAGGGCATATCATTTCACACCAACAAAAATGCAGAAACAGATCATTAACTCGAGTAAGAGCTAGACTGTAACGTCAGATTAACCTATTTTAATTTACTACAATATTTACCCTTAATCTATGCAGTGTCAATGAAGGACATTGCCATACCAATACAAGACATTGCAGTTTCTACAAGACTTTCACTACCAGTGTGCAGTGTATTAGGTCTCCTTACAATTAGGTTACCTTAAAATTCAACATATTTTACTGTACTTTGCGCAAGAAATTTCAGGTTTTCCTGCTGGAGAATAAATAGTCATTGCAAGAAAACATTTATTTAAGGTACAAAACTTACACCAAAACTAGACACTTACACTAGACACCAAGATATTACATGTGTGAACAACAACTTTCTGGTTTCACTCTTTCCCACCTCATTTTGTTACCTGGCTGCAGCACAATTTGTTCCCATTCAGACACAAGAGCGCTAGTGGGATCGGGCACCAATGAGACTTGGCTTGAAGTCGCTGTTGCAGTTCTTCCCAAAAGTGTGGAAAGGGGTTGAGGTCAGGGCTTCCATACAGGCCAGTCAAGTTGTCCCACACCAAACTGGGAAAGTACTTTTAATAGTTTGTCATGTTGAAACAGGGGAGGAACACTAAAACATTACGTATGTACAATTTCCTGGTAACTGTAACTAAGAAGCCTAAAGCCCAATCTGCAAGAAACAGCATCTGACCAAAACCACCAAAAGTATGAGGACAGAGGTGTCCTATGTGTATGTGAAAGGTGTAACTGTAACTGAAGTTTCCATCTGCTCTATGGAGCATTGTTTGGAGACCAAAACAGAGCTTAAAGGATATTGCACTTACATGTACCCCATGGACACAAACATGACTCCAAATGAATATTAATGGTGCTCCTTGGATGTAAATAGGCAAGACATTTACTATCAGTCAATAATAAATATGCAACATCTGATTACACTCTCAATATAAAGCTTGCTGAGGACACATTGAGTACCGAATTGAATTCTAATTTGTTGAATTTTGGTTTCACAGTAAGGTTCAAGGGTAGCTTTATTATCCCCAAAGGGCAATTTGTTGTACAGCCAGTAATATATACATGACCAACATCAACAGACAACAAACAATAGTCAACAACCAATGAGACTATAAATAAGTTAGTGTAAGTACAATACATACAATATACAATATACATACAATACAAATATAATACAGAGTTATTTAAGGCCAACTGCAGCAGGAATGAGTGAACATTTCAGTCTGTTGGTCCTGCATCTTCATCATCTTTTTATATTGCACCTTCATACATGTGTCCTTTTCACATCTGTGCGAGGAGAAACGTGACACTGACACGGTATCCTGTAGTGGATCGGTGGGTCTATTACACGCGTAGGCATGAGACTGGGCTGCAGGTGATGATATGTCAGTGCCGAGTTTTCTGCATGTTGGTTGCGCAGCCCCCAAGTGGAAAATAAAAACAATGCATGTTTAAGGTCACACCAGGAAGATGAAAATAGACAACTAAAATTATCAATAAAAGAAGTTAACTTGAGTTAACTTGAAGAGACAATAAAATCTACTAGGTGTGTGTAACAAAGACCAAGTTATAAACACTAAAGGGATGAATACAAACAGAAAGACATGTGCAGTGTGTCAAATTATGAACACAGCTTCCTTTTAAACCTTAAAAGAGTGTGAAAAAGAGCATAAAAGCGTGTTAAACAACAATACCAACAGGTTGAGTGTATGCTAATGTAGAGTTTATACTATTTTGATGGATTAAACAGATATGGCATGTGAATGATTGAATCACATTATTTCAAAACAGTCGAGTCGATCCTCACCGAGACTCACTTAACTGTTTAAAAGTCTGTGTGAAGAATATGTGAGGGCGCACTGTGTTATGTAAATGTACCACCTCAAAGGTATATTTACAGTCTGTACTGAAACCCCAGTCTCCAACATTATAAATGTACCTTATTGAGTCAACTTAAAGGCACATTTTCACCCCAAAGATAAACATGTTCCAAAGTCAAGCGGAGACATGATTGATTCAGACACACAGCGGTGCGGTGATGGAACATTTTATCATGGTTTAAAGAAGGAATCAACAAACACTTTCACACATAACAACAGGAACAAATGTTGCCTTAAGAGGGGAAAATATTACGCAGTTTTGTAGTTTCACACCAAAAGATATTAAAAAAACAAACTTTGAGCTAAAAGTCAATTTCCCTGCTCATTTCTTCTTTTATTGTATTATTTCTCTCTTTTCCTCTTCGCTAATGTAAATGCATATTGTAACTGTAGCAGAGAGAAATTGTTCTTGTGTTTGCATGTTTGACCTCGACACTCAAAGCTCTGCACAGCGTCTTTTTCTGCACGCATACTTTGGTCAGAAGTCTTATATTATAAGTACACGCTTGAAATATTCCATGTGAGTCTCTGGATCACACATACTAAGCTTCAGAGGAGGTTTGAAAACAGAAAGAAAATAAATTCAGCTAGGATACTGTAATGTAAATATTTATAATAATATATTTAGTTATCCTCTATAGGACCAATATACAGCGTCTTTATTAGTAAGGTAAAGGTTATGATTATTCTAGGGACTCATTGATATTTTTATTTCAAATGGTGGACCAGGAGTTCCTCAGTACACTCCTGATCAAACACACAATTCAAATACAGCATAAGGTGGAGAAACAACATTGGCATTTTCCATACTTTCTCTCTTCCTGCGTTAGCATCATAACCTCTATATTTTTGTTATAAATTGGACATCTTTTCTCTTCCCTTTGCAGAAATGTGTCATTATGCAAACAAAAAAATGACTGAAGTGTTGTAGATTGTGAAGCAAATGTGTGATTTTAACCTATTATATATAAACACAATCTACTTGACCTGACTTGAAGCTGGTTTAGTACAACTTGTGGGCTCTAACGGTGCAGTTGCTCACTGTAGCAACCTCCTATTTCAACAATGTAGGGCACAAAACTCACCAAAAAAAACAAAAAGCCCTATCTGCAGCCAGTGTTTGGTTTGGTAGTGAAACGTGGCGGACTCCGTAGAAGATAAAAACAGCTCATTCTGAGGTAACAAAAACTGAATTATTCTTATTATACACTAATGAAAAAATACCTATAAATATACTATTCCTTTTCTGCTCATAGATCGTCACAGATTATTCACTGGATTATAAAGAAACCTGGTTTTAAGATTGGCAAATCAGTCCTCACTCTGTTTATGAAGAGTTTGATGTATTTTTAGTGTAGAAAACAAACAGCCTCTGCAGCAACGAACTGCAGGACACATAAAGATTGTTATTGTTAATGTCAATCAGATTCTGCATTCTATTTCTTTTTATTGTCATATTGATGTCTGACAAGAGAAACAGAAATATATGTGACAAATGTATATTATGTAATAGTTTCACAGGAGAAGTGACAGCAGACTGGGTTGCAGGTGACGGAGAGTGAGGCTTAAGTAGTGTTTGTGCAGTAGTGATAATAAAGAATATCTGATGCTCTTTGAGGATTAAAAATAAAAAAGTTATAAATCGTCATCTTTTTCATTGTATGTCTGGGTTGGACAGTTGTGTGTATTAGCTCTACAGAGCAAACATACTGAGGGATTCATGCTCTGGGAGCTCAGTGACATGGAAAGGATCATGCTGCCTCCTAGTGTTCGTACAAAGAAAATGCATCACTGCAGGAGTTTAACTGTTTTAAATGACCAAAGATAAATCAAGCTCAGGCCAAATATGATGAAAACATTACAAAAAAAAAAAAAATACAACCACCACCACTCCCCCTGTGAGATAGTGAGCTGCATTAAATTACATTCACCATTTAAGTTATGTATATTTTCCTATTTCCATATGAGTATGGATTACTCTATATAAAAGACAAAGATCAATTAATGTCACCTCTTTATTAAAATTGAAGTAATTTTATTGCAGTAAATTATTTAAAATCCAGGCCAGTTTCTCTACAATCAGACTGTTAGCATCAACTTCATACAATTCATACAGCTGAGATATATAGGAGAATAAAGAGGACAAGAACATTAACATATATACAATTAAAATTCTGTGTGGTACCAACCAGTTGTGTTGAAATTAAGCAGTTTGGTCACAACTCTCCAAATTAATAGATTATGACACACAGACTAAAATATTTAAAACGTGTACAAATCCAGATCCAATATGGACCAGTTCTTGTATTTCTAAAACAAACATCCACTCAACCCTTCGGTTCGAATCCTTAAACCTTTCAGTCACAAACCAGATTCACCACAATTGTCCTCTAGTCAACTGCAGAAACACAAACTACATATTACATTACATAAGCATACAGCATAAAACTATGTTTGAGCATCAAATATGCGTTAACTCAGGAGTGTCTTATTTCGATTGCAGTTTGTATGTGATGAGGATAATCTAAGCTCAAAGGTGCACTGACTGATTGATCCAGAGCTTTTCACTGATTTCAATTTCACTTCATTCTTAAAGGATCATAATCGCTGAATGAAGAGCCAAGTATGCGGATGAAAGCTCTAAATAACTAGTAAGTAAACCTTTGAGCCTATTCTCTTCACATACGACAGTTCCTAAAGGTCAGCCACTGTCTGCACATGCGAGTGTGTTTCTGGAACAGTGGTTTCCAGACTTTTTAGGGGGGCTTTTAATCCTTTAAAACAAAGTTATGTAGCAGGTTGTCCAACCAAAGAGTGATTATTCCTTCCCAATTATCCAATAATTCATGAGAAAAAAGTAAATATGATTTCTCAACTTTTTGCTTTCCTGTGAACTCACAACTCCTGAACCCCAGGTTGGAAACCACTGGTGTAGCAGATGCTATTAAAGACCTTAACAAAGGGCAGCGCTCTGAGTAAACGTGTTGTCCAAGAAAAAATGAGTGTCGTGTTTGACAGGAAACTACACAGAGAGAGACCTTTAAGATTAAAAGAGAAATGCAGTTCAACGTGTAATCTACTACAACAGGGTCATACAGTGACCCTGAAGTTAGTCACAGATTCACTTGTGACTTGTAGTGTGCACTAAAACATGACCAGAGAGCAAAAAACAGCTGTCTGACCTTTGTTCTTTAACTCGCATTAGCATCTGTAGTTGAAGTGTTACTGTGTGTGTGTATATATAGGTAGTATAATACTATATATATATATGTAAGGAGAGGAGAAAACATGTGCATCTGTGTGTGTGTCTGTGTGTCTGTGTGTGTGTGTTTGACAGCATTAAGTAGACAGATTAAGACTAGAAGGGTATTAAAACTAACAACTGGAGCGCTGAACCCAATCACATCACGGCTGGTGAGTCATTAACCCCTCACATCTTGAGTGATCCAGTCGACAGAGGGGAGGGCATTTCTCTATAAATGCTTAAAATGACAGATCACACACACACACACACACACATACACAGACTACCCATGTTATCCCATGAATCACAGGCTGATCACACTGACATTAAGACTACAACAAGAGCAGCAAAAAAAAAAACATCAAAGCAAGAAGCAGCGCTATGTTTTGGCGCAGCATCATCCCTCCTTCTTGTTCCCCCAACGCAACAGTTTGGACATCGGAGACTTTTTCTTCGGTTTCTCTTTCTTTATGTCTGAGAGAGAGAGGGACAGAGAGAAGTAGGAGGGGAGAGTAAACATGAGAGGTGAGATTGGGAATAGTAATTCTGTGAAATTTCAATCAATAAACTCAATCAGTTCTTACATTTCTGATGACAAAAACAAATGAGGAACTCAGATGTTTAAAGTAGTGTTTGTAGCACAAATGAACACTAAAAGCTTTCATATTTTTGTTGCAGTAAATTAGCAGCTGTTTGTACCAACACTAGTTTAACTTTAACTAGTTTTTTTTGTATTTATTTACTACATAATATAGTCATGGATGAATCTTTTTGGCTACTAAGAATAAGGCAGAAAAACAATTAAAAATAAATAATTTAAAAGTATATCTTCCAGCCACCAGTGGCAGCAATGACCATCCTGCTGCTGAGCGGAATCTCAGTCAGGGGTCGAGGAAGAAATCCTACGCCATCTTTTATTTTTTTCTTTGGTTTGTATAGATTGCAATGGACAATACCTTTATATCTGACTAAATTGTCATTTTTGTTACTTAATATATGCACAGCGTTGATTAAAGTTTGCCTTAAGTCTCTAAGAAGATTACCTTTTATCTTTAAGTTCATATTTTCAACATTTTTCCAGTGAAAAAAATATTATGAAGCTTCAGTGACTGAAATGTTTGTATTCCAACTGTTTTCTCCCCATTATTCTCCACACTTTCTATTTTCTGACCTATAACGTCACAAGACAACTTTTAAGCATCTTTCAACTCATTGCTTTGTTGCACCAACTTCATTGTTTTGATTCACTGTCAAAGCTCTTAGAAATCTTGTTTTTAGCAGACGACTGTTATCGGTGAAAAAGCTTTGTTTAACCCACTGAACGCTACCCAGTCAGCACCAAACAGCACATTTAGCGTGAAGATATTTTCCTCAGGAGTTGGTGGAGACCAAACAGGGGCTAAAAGTCTATGAATACTGGTCAAAAGGCCAGAAACACAACAACTCTAAAAGAAATGCTAATGTTAGAATTTTCAGTGTGTGCTGGATGTGTAGCTGAACATCATGTCATATCAAAGACTATAATATCCCAAACATCTATCATTTATAATTTATGTTCTGCCCCAAAGCAGCCAGAAAAACTGATAAATGCAGCTTTATATATGAGGCGACAAAGTCACTACAGGAGCGCTAGACATTAAAGCTCAGTTAGCAATCACATGACAAGATTCCCTGATAGATGAAAGTAAAACCTGGGGGAGGGGGATTTTCTCTTAAATATATTGCTTATTCTATCACTAAACCTCAGCATACATTATTGTGCTTATACTACAACCATTTATCACAAGCAAAAAGAGAGTATGTGTACAAAAGTTGTGTTTAAAGTTTGTTTTTAGTCAGTTTAGCTTGTACGCTAGGTCTGTTTCCCTGCTGGGAGTTCACAGAGCCGAAGCACTGTTGCCATGGTTACATGCAGTTTAAT